TTCCTTCCTTCCTTCCTTCCTTCCTTCCTTCCTTCCTTCCTTCCTTCCTAATAGCACTTGGACTTATATACCACTTCCCAGTGCTTTTACAGCCCTTTGTAAGTGGTTTACAGAGTCAGCATACTGCCCCCAACAATCTGGGTGCTCATTTTACCCACCTCGGAAGGAGGGAAGGCTGAGTCAACCTTGAGCCTGGTGAGATTTGAACTGCCAAATTGCAGGCAGCCGGAAGTCAGCAGAAATAGCCTGCGGTCCTGCATTCTAACCACTGTGCCACCACGCCTCTACTTTTTTTTGAGATTTCCTCCCACATAACTTCCTTTTTCTTCATTTTGCACACGCGATCAATCAACTCAAACCCAGATGGCAAACTGCACGCACTATCCTTGCACTAACTGAATTTCAGCTCACATTGGCTTGGTCTCAGCGTATAAACCACACTAAATCCGATGTACTACTATTCAAACCTGCACCAATTGAGACCTATCTATAGGCAGGTTTTAAAAGAAACGGTTCGGTATTCCTTCATCCTGAGATGCTGACATTTAAAAAAATTATTCCTTTCGGGGGGGAGTAAAAGTAGTAAAAACCTGGAAGAGTTTCATTACTTTTTTCACCCACACTTCATATATTTTATTTTATTTATCCAATTTATTTGCCCCCGCCCCCCATCTCATAGTTCCAGGGGTCTCTGAGTGGCTTGCACCAAGATAAAACACGCAAGCACCCGACAGTTTTAATATAAAAACAGATTAAAATTGTAAAAATCAAAAGAAACTAAAAAAGAACAAGGGTTTGGAGGGTACAGGTGGAGGTGCCTTCTCTGTTGGTGCACCAGCTACCTCCAGCCACAGCTTCTCCTATAGGCAGGGCTGGGCTGCTGGGGGTTCACAGGGGTTCAGGAGAGCCCCTAGCTAAGATTCTGTGCAGTTCGAAGAACCCGCAAATCCCACTCCTGGCTGGCCCCGCCCACCCCACCCCTCCCAGGAATCCCCACACGGCCCGTTTTGGATGCAGGTAAGTACAGGATGCATGCGGAGGCTCAGGCAGGGTGAAAAACAGGCCTCCTGGAAGTTTGGGAAGGCCGGAAATGAGCCTGTTTCTGGTCTCCAGAGAGCCTCCAGAGCCCAGGGAGGCTGTTTTTGTCCTTCCGGAGACTCAAGGAAAGCCTCCGGAGCCCGGGGAGGGCAAAAATGCCCCCACCACCACCACTGTGGTGCAGGAGGCTGACTAGGCCATGCCCACCATGGCCACACCCACCCAGTCACCAGGCAGAGAACTCTTTGCTAAAATTTTTGAAGCCCACCCCTGCCTACAGGACCTCATGCCATGTTTTAAGACCTTTCCCAGAGATTAAAAGAGAGAGTGTAGATCTTACGTCCTGTGGTAAGATGTTCAAAAGAGCAGGAGCTAAGGCAGATGTTCCAGAAGTTAATGTTCTCCTGAATCCCACCAGCCGAAATTCCTTGGCTGAGGGGATCTGCAGTACACACCCCTCTGTCAGCATGAGTGGGGCGGGCCAAACCTATTTTCTTGATGTCTTGTCTTAAACTCAACAGAAATGTTGCTGTCTCCTAATCGAAGTGGTGCCCATTCGTTGCCATCTCTCATAATGCCTGCTAAGTCAGGAGGACAATTTGTGTAGCTCAGGGGTGGGCTTCAAAAATTTCAGCAACCAGTTCTCTGCCCGGTTGCTGGGTGGGCATGACCATAGTAGGCGTGGCCTAATAGGCCTCCTGCACCGTGGCGGGGGGGGCATTTTCATCCTCCTGAAAATGGCTTCCCGTGGCTCCAGATGCTTCCTGGAGCCCAGAAACGGGCCTGTTTTCACCCTCTCCGAGCCTCCACGTGGGCCCTGCACTTATCTGGCATCCAAAACGGGCTGTGTGGAGACTCCTGGGAGGGAACGGGAGTGATGGGCAGGGCCAGCCAGGTGTGGGATTTACCGATCTGCCGAACCAGTAATTAAAAAAATGATATAATTAGCTACCGGTTCGCTCAAACCTGGGCGAACCAGTCGCAGCCCAGCCCTGGTGTAGCTGCTTCCAAGGCTATTTCAGTTCTAACGTAAATGCAACTTGCCAAGGGATTCCACCTCAGTCACAGCTCATTAATGTAGTCATGCATTGGTGGGAAAGCAGGATGAGCCATGGCCTCATTGTGTGCGCAAAATACACGTGAATCAGAAAAGCACTGGGACATTTTAGGGAGAAGTTCTTTTCACAAAGGGTTTGCAGACTGAATCAGCCAGCCTTCCTAGATGGCCTCTTCAGCTCCACAGAGATTTTGTGGGCATAACATGAGGCTTAATGAAAAAAGGTCCCCAAGTCAGATGAGTAATGGTCATCTGGAGTTTTGCAGCTCAACTTTATTAACCCTATTTCTCTATG